TTAATATCTTAATTTATTTATACGGACAATATTTTATCACAAAAATCAGACACAAAAACACACTTTAACTGATTAATCATGCTTTTTTCTCGATGGATCTAGAATCTTGATCTATAAAATATTAAGAACCAGATTGAGGAATCTGGAAAATACGATTGAAATATTTTAAACAGGGAAATAGTCGAAAGCTTCGACCCTTAATTATTCACAACACTTTTTCCGCATTTCGCCTTATCTCAGTAGATATTTAAGCAAATCAAATAAAAATTTGGTTGTCCAATGATAAATATTTTAAAATAATTTTTTTAATTTATTTGTAATTTTCTAAATTATTTTAGTAATGGTCAAAAAATTTGTCAAATCTCGTTCAAATCTTCTATTTTATTTTTTTAAATCACGTAATTTGTAAGGAAGTTAAAAAAAATTCCCTTAATATTCAAAATTTTTAAGACCATTAATTAAATACTTAGAAAAATCTGAAATAATTATTAAAAATTCTATAACTTAAAGATATTTGAAGATGAAGGGGGAAAATGGTTTATGTTCATTTTCGGCCGTACAGTGGAAAAACCATTCCCTTCTACCAGCAAAATCTTTTTTTTTTTTTTTTTGTTACTTTCTGAATTAGCTTTAATAGAGGTGAACTGTTCCACCTCAGTGTCTTTATTTGACAATACAAGATATCAATTAAATTGTTAGTGTAATTACTTCAAATTTTATTATATTCTAGAAATAATTATCGTAGTACACGGAGAAAAAAAATCTGATAAAATTACTTTACGTAATGACCTTTTTAGTAAAAAAACAACTTACCTTTTTTAATAAAATAAAAATATACGGTGCTAAAACCGTTTATTTGGGAATTTTTCCGTTCATTACAGCATCAGAAATTTTTGTTTTTTAAAATTATAGTTCTTATTATCACAAATTTTAAAAAATACAAAACTGAAAAGTAAATTTCACAGAATAAATGATTTTTATGTCATGCTCCAATTTGTTGTGAAAAAATTACCAAATTTAACCATATTTACCAAATTTTATGAAGCCCTATAAAACATATTCTACTGTTAATATTACCAAAATCATTACTAGAGCGCTTCGCTAAAAATTACCGATCTTTTTAGTGTTCCCATAGAACCAGAAATACATGAAATTTATTTTACCTAATCATGATAGTTTTGGCCACATGTTTTTTTTTTCTTCTCAGTGTATTTAAGCAATAGGGAAACCAAATATTTTTACTTTATAGTACCAAACCAAAATTTTACTAGAAATAATTGATTTACTAGTTTTGAATGTGACGCTTGTTTAATGTAAAGATAGCCTCTGTTCGGAAGCAAATTAATTAGATTTTGCTCTTTTTGCTCAAAAAGAATTCATAACCAAAAAAGCACAACCTGAATAAAAATTCAAAACTCTGTCTCTTACTAACTTAGCTATAAAACAAGTGTTTCGATTTTTTAAATAGAGTAATTAAATAAAAAACATACATTTGGATATGAAACGTTTTGTAAAATTTTAATATTTCATCACGGAGGCAAAGTATCCTATTGTAAGTAAGTATCCTTTGTAACCCTATCATGCTAAAAGAAATAATAATTCGTTAAATTAATTTTATATTCCTTTATACTGTGAAACATCATTATTCCCTTTTATGGATTTCAAATAATAAATGCATTATTATTGATGAAAATCATACATATGTAACAAACAATATTCGGATTAGCCTATTACGAATATTTCTAATTTTAGTGACATAAATTTCATGAAAATTGGCATAAAAATAGCCAAATATATAATTAAATTTCATTACGAAATCCTTTGTAGCTGTAATGCTAAAAAATAATAATTTGTTAAATTAATTTTATACTCATTCATACTGAAAAACATCATTATTCCCTTTTATAGATTTCAAATAATAAATGCATTATTATTGATGAAAATCATGCATGTGTAACAAACAATAATTGGATTAGCCTATTACTAATATTTCTAATTTTAGGGACATAAATTTCATGAAAATTGGAATAAAAATAGTCAAATATATAATTAGGTTTAAATACAAAATTTTTTATTTAATCATTCGTACGTATTAAATAGTACAATTCTAAGCATGCCATATCGCTTAATGATACACTGCATGATTATTTTCCTATAATAATTGAAAATAAACATATGCATTATCATTTATTAAAAACACATTGCAAGAAATATTGGTCAAAACTACCAGAATATGGTAAAAATAACCGTATTTCTTGTACTATGGGAACATCAAAAGCCCGGAAATATTTACAAATGTGCTTTGGTAATGATTTTGGTAAACATAAGAATAAAATATGGTTTCATAATATGTGATAAAATTTGGTAAATGTGGTAAAAGTTGATAATTTTATCATGATAACTTACAGCGGGGCATAAAAACCATATATTTGGTTAAATTTACTTTTCAGTTTTGTGATTCATTTCTAAATGTGTGGTAATAAGAACTGTAATTTTGAAAACCAGAATTTCCTTTAAACCATTACCATATGAACTGAAAAATTACCAAATGAGTAGTTTAAATAAAATATATATTATAATTTTCTTAACCAGAATTATGTTGGCTTTTTTTATGAGAAATGTCATTGCCGTACAGTACAGTAACTTATACAGTAACTCCCGTATAGACACACACACATATGTATAGACACATATAGACCAATATCCACATATATATATATATATATATATATAAATAAAAAAAATACAAGAAAACACTAAGAAAGTTAAGAAAAACAATAAGTATCATTTATTGCGCTTAAGCTGCAAGTAAACAGCACTCATTAGATAAGTTCAAAATGAAGAATAAAACAAAGAAAAATTATAGACATATGAAAAAAAGGGGGTGGGAAAT